CTGGCGCCCCCAGCCCGGGCTTTCCGTCGGCCTAGCCGGGATGGCTTGGTTGCAAAGGCCACAGCTTTGTTCTGTGGGGTTGGTGGTGGTGAGGGTGGTGGCAGCCTCTGGAGGCCACTGGGCGTGGTCCTCTGGTCAAGCCAAGAGGGATCGAAGAAGCCCTGTGGACCTCGGGCCGCATCCAGGCCTTGGTGGTCACAGCCAGGAGGGCCCTTCGCGGTGAGGCACCTGTGAAGGCCCCGCCCTCCTCCTGCCCCATACCACTTGGGGTGGCTGAAAGAGGGAGGGTTGTGGCTCAGGCCTGGGGCGAGAGGCCTCACGGGGCCAGTGGCCCTGACCCCAGAGGAGGCATCTCAGGGCCTCGGGGCCTCCCGGCGCCTGCTTAGACTCCTCTTTCAAGCCCGTGTACGTGCATGTGTGAGAGCTGGTGTGTATGAGCATGTGTGTGTCCTGATGTGTATAAGCTGCTGTCCCCCTCCCGTGTAGAAGTGCCACCATGCCTGGGCGCCGCGTGCACAGGGCACCGAGTGTCCCCGAGGGTGCAGGTGCTCAGGTGCGCGCAGATAGGAGGCGTGGAGACACAGCCCCGAGTGCCTTGTACAGATGGGCCTGCTCCTCCAGGAGCATGCCGGCGATCGGGCTCACCGCAGAGCGTCGCACACTCCAGGCTCCAAGGCGGCCACCTCCGGGCTACGCAGAGACCGCCTCTCCCTGAGAACGTTAAAAGCTGCTTCTCTTGAAAGCCTTTGTAAAACCTGCGGTGTGATTTATTTATTGCAAGATGCACAAATCCCACATGAACAGGCCAGCTAATTTTTCCACACATACATGCAACAGAAAGTCCTCGAGGTCACGACAGAACATTTCCGCTGCACGGAAGTGCCCCCAGCCCTCCCAGGGAAGCGCGCCCCTCCGCAGGCAGGCACTGTCCGGCCTCTCTCGCCCTTGGACCTACTCTTGAGTCATACCGGTCTTCACTTTGGTCACTGGCGGGCTTTCCTACGAGTAAAGCTGCTGTGGACATTTGGACAGATGTCTTTTGGGGGACGGGAGAGCTCTGTTCTCGGGAGTCTGTGTCTGGAAGTGGAAGGGCTGGTCGTGATGTGGGCCTAAGGTCACCCGGCTTTGGTTTTTGCCTGCATCTCCCTGAGGATGACGACCTTGTGCCTTCTCCTGGACTTGCTGGCGTTAGGGCGTGCTCCGTGGGGCAGTGCCTGCTCAAGTCTTCTTCCTCTTTTTAACCATGTGGTCGTTTCCTTATTGATTTGTAGGAGTTCTTGGTACGTTCTGGATACAAGTCCGTCAGCAGGAAATACCCTTTCCTGGCCTGGAGCGTGTGTCTGCATTCTCTTAATGCGTCCTTTGCTGTACGGCAGGTCTGAGTTTTAAGGAAGGGTAGTTTGTTGGGTATTTTTATGATGTAGTCAGTGCTGCTTCTGTTTTGTGACGTCTTCCAAAATCGGGAAGACCTTCTCCTGCTCTCTCTGGAGGCCCGAGGGCCTCTGCCTTTGCGCTTTGGCCCGAGACCTCACCTGCGTTACCTTTGTGACTGGGTGTGGCAGGAATCATGGCTCAGATTTCTTTTCCTCCAAATTGTTTCAGTACCATTGACTGAAAAGCACGTCCTGTCCCCCACTGGACTGAAATAGCGCCCAGCTTATAAACCCCATGACCCCACAGGCGTATGTGTGCTTCTGGGTGTTTTATTCGTCCCACTGACCTGTTCATCCGCCTCATTCTGCTGCATCAAGAGCATGCCTAACACTCCGTTTCTAATACACTGTACCCTTCCCTGTGGCTTTACAGGACATCCTGAGCTCTCTGTTTTTTGTTTTTTGTTTTTTGTTTTTAACGTATATGATTACGTCATTTGCAAGTAGTGACAAAACAGTTTTATTTTGCCCTGTCCAATTTTTCCATTTTTGTTTCTCTGTTCTCACCTCAGTGCACTGGCTGAGACTGGGGACAGTGTTAGGTAGAAATGGTGTCAGTCCTCAGCTTTGTGTTTTTCGGGTTTTTTTAATTGAAGTAGAGTCAGTTTATAACATCACCTCATTTTCTGGTGCACAGCATCATGTTTCAGTCATACATATACATACATGTGTTCATGTCCATATTCTTTTTCACCATAAGTACTACAAGACATTGAATATAGTTCCCTGTGCTCTACAGTAGGAACTTGTTGTTTATCTATTTTATATATAGTCAAACTGTATCTGCAAATCTCGGACTCCCAGTTTATCCCTTCCCACCCCCATCCCCCCACTGGTAACTGTGAGTTTATTTTCTATGTCTGTGAGTCTGTTTCTGTTTTGTTAATAAGATCATTTGCCTTTTTTAAAAATTCCATTTATGAGTGCTATCATATGGTGTTTTTCTTTCTCTTTCTGGCTCACTTCACTTAGAATGACGATCTCCAGCTCCATCCATGTTGCTGCCAATGACATTATTTTATTCTTTTTTATGGCTGAGTAGTATTCCATTGTATAAATACACCACAGCTTCTTTATCCAGTCATCTGTTGATGGACATTTAGGTGGTTTCCATGTCTTGGCTGTTGTGAATATTGCTGGGGTACAAGTATCTTTTCGAAAATACTCAACTTTGCTGTTTTTCAAAATTGTCTTATTTATCCTTAGCCCTTTGCTTTTTCAGAAATATTTTAGAATCAGCTTGAAAATCCTCCCTCCTCCAATAAATAAAAGCACTCTGCTATTGATTGGAATCACATTTGGTCTATACCTCAAAATTCACATCTTGCAAATATTGAGTCTTCCAATTTATAAGCATATTCTAACCCTGAACTGATTTAGGCTTCTTCAGCCTTTCTCACTAACGTCTGGTGCATTTCTGCGAGGTCTTGTTCATGGCCAGGAGGTTTTTTTCTCAGGTATTTTATGGGTTTTGTTGCTGTTATAATTGGTATGTTTTTACTTCATTTTCTGATTGCTTGTTACTAACATAAAAATACAATTGATTTTTGAATATCATCTTTAAAACCAGTGTTCTTCCTAAATTCATTTAGCAATAGAATAGTTTATCTGAAAGATTCTGACGGGTTTTTTTTTTAACGTATATGATTATGTCATTTGCAAATAGTGACAAAGCAGTTTTATTCTGTTCTGTTCAATCTTTCTGTTTTTTGTTTCTCTGTTCTCACCTCAGCACGCTGGCTGAGACCGGGCACATGCTAGGTGGCAACGGTGACAGCAGACATCCTTGTCTTGCTCCCGTCACAGGAGCAGGTGGATCAAAGCTCACCGTCGTGAAGTGTGATGTTTGTTTAGATTTTGTCTGTTTTCTTCCTCGACACTTGAGCTGTTTCGATCAATTGCCAAAACGCTTCGGGACTTTCTGGTTACCTGTTCCTTGTTCATTTCTAGCTCCATCTCCCTTGCTGGTCAAAGTATGATCCTCCTCCGCAGGGGCGTGCATCTGTGGGCTCTCCGTGCAGCTTTTCACCCTTCTAGCTCTTTGCCCAGTTTCTCCAAATCTCGCCCCAATGCTGTGCAGCTTAATTCACAGATGCATCGGGGGAAACTGCGTGAAAGGGGGCTCCTTCCTCTGTGCTCCCCCTTCGGCAGCACCTTGTCCCCTCCAGCCCTGGGTGTCCTCGTGCCCCGGCCCCGCCTATCCTGCCGGTCCAGGGAGCTGCCGTGTCCCATCGGCCCGTGTGCCCCACACAGCAGCGCACGCACACAGCGGGCTCCTCCACTTGGCTTCTCCTGTGGGATCTCCGCGCACGGAGTCTTCGATGCTCTGAAGGCCGCCCCGCAGCTGGGGCGCTGTGGGCGCCTCTCTGGTTGGTGTGGGTGTTTTTGGCAGAAGGTTTAGTCACCTGCAGTCTTCGGACCCAGAAGCAAAACCCCACTGGTTCCGTTGGATGTACTTTCTAATATTCTTTTCCCTGTGCACGTACATGCCATCCATTACGGCTCCTTTTTTCTTTAATTCTTACTTTTTATTGAAGTGTAGTCCCTTTGCAGCGTTAGTCTCAAATACACAGCAAAGTGATTCAGTTCTACACGTAGGTATGTGTCTTCTTTTCAGATTCTTCTCCAGCACAAGTCATTACAGCAAACTGAATGTAGTTCCCTGTGCTCTACAGTCGGTCCTTGCTGCTTATCTATTTTGTATGCAGTGACGTAGATCTGCTGACCCTGAACGCCTCATCTCCCCCCCCTCCCCTCTCCCCGCTGGTAACCAGAGGCTGGTCTGTGTCCACAGTCTACCTCTGGCTTTTAAATAAAATCTGTATCTTATCTCTTCTCTTTACATGCACGTACAAAGGACGTCATAGGACGCTTGTCTTCCTCCTCCTGACTCACTCCACTCAATATGACCATCTCTGGGTCCATCTGTGTTGCTGCAGGCGGCACCATGTCCCTCTTTTCATGGCTGAGTAGTGTTCCGTCGTATGAACACACAACATCTTCTCGTGTGTTTCCTTTTCGGAGGATGTCTCTAGAAGGAAGTTGGGAGGGGAGGCGATGCAGTCCCCTTAGCAGAGTGGCTCAGGCAGTAACTGTCCTGGCTAGTTTCTCCTGCAGTCCTCTGTTTCCCAAGTGCATGCCTGGGTTGGGGTGGGAGGGTCCTAGAATGTTCCAGCTGAAAGGGGCCTCAGCTGCCATCTGCTTGTACCCCCTCCCCACTATACTGATGAGGAGCAGGGAGGCCCAAGGGTAGAAAAATTTGGGGGCCACTGCCATCGCCAAGACAGGGCCCTGACTCCTGACCCACTTCCAAACAACCACCAAGGCAGGGAGCCCTCTGAGATCATCCCACTGATTAGAAGCTCCTGGCCCCCAGCTCTCCTTCTGCCACCAGGACGTGGCCTTGCTGGCGCCTGTCCCAGGGGGCTGAGCGTGCTCCCTGTTTCTGGAAGGACCTAGCCCGTGTGCAGTGGGGGCGCTCGGGAAGGCCCCGCAACTCTGACGGCAGTAAGCACGGGATGCCTGTTGCAGTGGCCACTCACGCCCTCTCTCCCCCCACAACCGCAGGCTGCGGGAGCACCATCGGGCCACCATCAAGGTCATTCGGCGCATGCAGTACTTTGTGGCCAAGAAGAAGTTCCAGGTGAGTCCTGCACTGAGCCCTCCAGCTCAGTGGGAGTGGCTCAGAGAGGGCGCCAAGCCTGCCCCAGGTCACCTGGGCGGGAGGCGCCCTGTCCCAGGCTGGCCCAGGGTTCTCATCCCCCCTCGCCCACCCTGCGTGGGTCGGGACAGAGGGAGACTCTGCTCTGCTATGTGCCCAGGCAGTGTCTCCCTGGCTGGGCGAGACTGGGGGCACTGGCCTTCCCCGTCAGCAGCCCTTCTGGGCTGAGTCCCCCCAGCAGCCCCTCAGAGCCTCCAGAGCCTAAGGCCGCCAGAGGAAGCCGGCTGATGGCAGCCTCCTTCCTCCGTGGGGACAGTCCCCTGTCTGAGGAGTGGGGCCGGCCTCAGCCCTCACTCTGGGAACGTGTAGCCTTAGGAAGCAGGGACCCTAGGGGGAGGTCACTCTTTTCCTAAGTCTTGCCTTTCAAATGAGCCCTTGATAGAGTCAGGGCGGGAGTCACCCAGAGCCAGCAGCAGCCTGCACACCCCAGAGGGGCCACAGCAAGGCCGGGGCAAGAGCTGCCGTCTCCGCAGCCCCCTCCAGGCAACGCCCGCCACCCCAGGCTGCAGGCTTGACGCGGCTCCGCACAGGTCCCCCAGCGGAGCCCCCACCTGCCCGAGCCACAGAGCCAGACTCAGTGGGGGGTTCCGGACAGACCACACCCCCCAGTGCTGGGCCAGCTCCTCCCCCATCCGTAATGCGAGCAAGAGCCAAGGGGTGGCCCAGGGCCCCGGCCACGGCCACTTCCACGAGTGCCTCCCACGGGCCCAGCCGCATGCAGCCTCTGCCGGGACACGACCGCCTTCCGTCAGCACCCCGAGG